ATTAACTCTACCCCAGCCAAAACAAGCACGCTCCCATAGCACCCACATACCTTTTAATGAAAACAGATTTTAAATATCAGCCCCAGATTTGGGAGAAGGTGACAAAACAACAGAATGGTTAGTCTTTCATGGACGTTATGATGCCAGCCTATGAATCAAGAGACCTTACTTCAAGTTCCTAGTTTGATCTTCAATTACATGGAGTGTGCAGACAGATAACACATTTAACTGATGGAATGGGCCCCAAACTGCAGTGGTCTGACTACATTGCTGCAGTCTAGGCAGCTAAACTCACAGGAAGTCAACACTCCAAAATCAATTACAAAAAAAAAAAAAGTATCATTCCCTTATGGGAGTGGCAAACACTGGATCAGTTCAGCTGTATTATGAAACCATTACTTGAGGGGACAAGTACCCAAAAGTCACATATGCCACATGCATGAGTGGTGCTCTGATAAGAATAATACAATATAAGAATACCCAGGAGAGGTCAGACCAGAACAAATGTCCTTAGTATCTTATCTCCAACAAGGCCATAAGCAGATGCAAAAGGAAGAATAAAAACAAGGCAAGCATGTATAATTCCCACTACTACTCTCCTAGCCACCAACTATTTTCAGCTCAGGGAATCTCTGAGCTCAGTGTGGTTTCTGTATAATCCATAACAGTGGATTTCTCTTCCACGTTTGTGTCCATTGACCTCTTGGACCCATGTCAACTTTTAGCACCCACAGTACTTGGCAAAGAGTCACACACTGTTGAAAAACCATTTCCCTTTACTTGCTTTGATACTGGTTCCTACAAACTTAATATGTTCTTGTACTGGAAAGGCATGAAATTATCCATCCCTGTCTGGGTCACTTGTGACCTTACAGACCTCTCTCACATTCCCATCAATTGTTGCTTTTTCAGACTGAAGAGCCCCAACTTAGTTGCTCTGTATGTGGAACTCATCCCACTGTTTGATCGTTCTTGTTACCGTTACTTTCTCCAATTCTACTGTATTCTATTGGGAATGGGGAACCAGAACGGTGCACAATACTCAAGGTGCAAATAGACCCTGATAACTTGCTAGAATTCACCAGCAAGAGTGACCCTTCCCACCGTCATATGCCTTCACAGTCTTGAGACACATACATAATGGAGTGCCATGCTCAGACAGTTGACAGTTACATCCCCCAGAACACTGGACAGAAGTTCCTATCAGTAACCCAGTACAGTAGCCTGCACAAACTGCAAAAGGAGAGGTAAAATTCTTTCAAAAGCATTCAGCTATTTTACAGACTAACACTTATGCTACACAGGGTATCATTGGGCCATAATAAATTGCTTTGTCAGAACACTGGGAAGGAAGCACAGGCTTCATGAATTCCAGCTTTCCTTGGCCCTATGGATAATACAACAGTGAGCTACCTCCTTCTCAAACAAGTCTCCTATCTCACAGTCTAAACTCTTAATGTTTGGTAAGCACATACAGTGCAGAGAGATGAAGCAAAACCAAGAAAAATGTTTTTTGACATCTGATCTCTTGCTTCCTGCACTGTAAATGAGGAGTGATGACACTGAAGTCAATAGCCCAGAGTACCCCTCCTATCGAAGTCTACATATTCCTATCATTCTGATGGTGATAAATATGTATAAACATGGTTTATACATACTTTAAGAACTTTATATTCTGCAACAGAGCTGTAAGTGGGTATTAGTTCCATGAGAATAATGCCCAGGGGAGTCACATGTGTAAACCCAACCCGGTACCAAAGAGTCAACAATATAACCCCTTAGGCTCTGTTCAGCCAAATTAACCCTCTAGAATGTCCATACATCTCTATAAAAAAATGCCTTGCAACCTTCAAATGGTGACTTGCCAGAGGTCTATACGTAGAATGTGAAACTACTGAGGTTTGTTTCTAGCAGTATCTCAGGGCCCAAACTTAGTAATAAGAATAGTAAATTTGGTCTTTAATGGAGTGGTATGCTATCCTCCAAGTAAGCCAATATAAAGCAAAATTCTTTATTTTATCTCTGTTGCTACTACAGTAATTACAAATACTGAAGATCGGCCACTTCAAGATTCTTTAAAAAAATTCAGTAGCAAAATCATGTACAATTCAGAGGCATCCTGCATTTATTTAATAAGGGTCAACAGAATGACAGCAAAAGGCTAAGTTTAGGTTCAAGCTTCTGCAACTATAAGAGATAAGAAAGCCAAAACCTGTCCATTTAGGACCATAAGATACTTGAAAGGAAAACTAAAGATAAGAAGATTACAATCCACAGAAGAGATGTTACTCTCCACTGAGACTTCCAAAGGCACTGAAAAAAAATCAAATTGCTGACCTGGAACAGAAACTCAGACAAGGAAGTATCAGATTGGCATGAGTCTTCAGGCTCCAAGACAAGAGAAACTGAGATATTCCTGCCACAGGGTATTAGGAAAATGTTGGAGATAAAAAAAGATTTGGAGTGTTTGTACAGCACTGACTTCTACAAAATCTATGTCAGACTGGCTTGGTCTTTGAAAAGACAAGAATCCTCCATAGTTTAGATGAAAGTTGTTGTTTTGTTCCAGCCAGCACATTCAAATTTGCAAAACAAGTAATTAAATCTGAATAGTTTCAATGTTCACAAATTATATTCCTTCTGGAATTCACTTCTCTGTGGTATTCTATCACAAAAACCACTCTTGCTTGGCTACAGTGATTTCCACTGTAGAGAAACACAGACGTCACAACTGACTTGTTTTTCTCTAACGGCAGTCATTAATTTGATATTTCTAATGCAAAACCATGGTAAGCTTTCAGAAATAACAAAGATAATGTAGTGTGGAGTTCCACTAAACTAAGCATTTTGTGGCTATAAATTGCAGGAGACCATTCACTAATGATTCCATTTCTGGGTCACCAGGTTGCATTAAACTGAATCAAGAAGGAGATTTTACTAAGCGCTATAATCCAAGCTTCCTGTGTGCAATTAAGTACTCAATGTATTAATAGAACATTGAACCAGGAAGCATGCAAGAAAAGCATAGGGTTTTTTAATACCATGGTTTTAATAAAATTTTCTTGAAATAACCGAAACTGCGGAGCATGAGGGGAGTGAAACATTTCCTGTATTTCACAATTCGCTTGAGCAGGCATACATGAAATAGTCTTATCAGATGCAAAAGGAATGTCGTTGCTTCAGTTTTAAATGGGGCTTTTTTTGTTTCAATGAAAAAAACCCACTGTTGGACTTTAAGTTAACATCTTTCTCACTTTGTCTGGCCCAAAGCCTTAACTATAGATCTAACTCAAATTACTTCCAAAAACTGGAGAGCCTCTTCTGTATTCAGGATTTTTTTTCTTTTATAAACTCTTCTCTTTCAAATGAGACAAAAAAGGTAGTATTTGCTTGCTGTAATTAAACATTCTGTTAGTTTCTATTTAATGCTTCAAACCAGTGAAAGTTTTTCTTGTTTTCTTGTGGTGCAATTTTTCTGTGAGAGTGTCATTGTTTTTATCATTTCTTCTTCACTGTTTGCCCAGTGACATTTTAAGTCTTATCAAGACTGAAGCAACATGTGTTCCAATTGTACATTATCAATATAGAAAATCATGTAGCTACTTATGAGAGAATGTTTCCTGAGGATTAATTACTGTTTTGACAAACGTATCGAGGATGGAAAACTGCGCACATAGTGGCTGAAGCAACATTTTTGCTCAGTACCTTAACAATCTACAAAATGGACCATATAGGGCCTTAGTAAAAGGGTTGATTGGTTTTTGTGGATTTTGTTCAATTTCTCACCAATAGCTACAAAAAAGAACTTGAGTAATAAGTGAGTGTTATTTGTACACCATAGCTTTCATCCAGGAATCTTAAAAACTTCTTAAAGAGAACTTTTGTTCTCTTTTCTACACAGCTTACAGCTAGGCACACCAAAGTGAGACACCTAATACAGAATGAAACAGGATCTAAGCTGCGAAGCTCCTAACTTGGAGTCTTCCATTTTACTTCGCTATCTGTTGCCTCCCCTCACAGCTGTGCTCTCAAAAGGCACTATCAGGAATATTTAAGTTTTTACTGCACAAGGTATGTGGCTAAACTTGTGCACAGATATGACTGTACAGGCATTTTAAGTCATGCATGAATACCAGATATATCTCTACAAGGGAAAAAAATTTCCAAGTCATGAAATCACACCAAGATACTTTTCTGAGCAATGTTTTCAGCAGGTTCCCTTTATCTGTGTCTATACTGTGAATGTGAAACTCAGTATTATTAAAAGGCACTGAATCATGATCACTACTTGATTAGCCAAACTACATTAAAATTGTTGACATGTCTGAAACTTGACACTGATTTCATCTTTACTCACAAACATACTACTTGAGGGAAGTAGGACTTTGTCTGTCCTATTTTTAGTTGTCCCTTCATTGTTACCTTAGTGAAGGCTCGGTAGCACAAACCACACAGTTCTACCAGGTAGGCCAGAGTGAAGACAGCATTCTGAATTACAAAGCTTAGTAATTTTGAAAAAGGCTCCAGAAGACTCTGCAATGACATGATTTAGAGAAATCAATAACTGGTTGCTCAGCAAAACAAAAAGCATTCCAACTCTGAAACGCCTGAATGGAACAGCATTATTTTTAGCTCAGAGGCCCATCTTGCTGGGATTTACACTGTTTTGGTCAAATGGCTATCTATCTAGCATTTGTTTTCACGCTTGTATGGGAAATTAGAAGCAAAAAATTAGAAAACTTTCACCTCTGACACAGTGCGTATGAGATATATGAGATTCTGTAGCGTTTATGCAGGAAAACTTCACTGACCTCAGTGGAATTGTGCTGCAGAACTTCTAAGGAAGTTCATTACTATTTTTTTTTTTTTTTAAGAAAAAAAAAGAGGAGGAGAAAAAAGAGAACATTGAATCTTTAAGAAGATACACATTCACACCCACACAGGAATGTAATCCTACCCACACTTTACTGTAACCTAGATTCCAAAGCTCTTATCGTTCTCCAAAGAGTATCGGACTGCACAATTTTATGCTTATATATAATACTTTCCTAGCTAGGGGATAAGAACACATTCATAGAATAGTGCAGGCTGGCTAAATCTGAGGCAAGAAAGTTTTGTCTTCTTGGAACTTACCCTGGTGGCACTAGTGGTAGGTATCTTCAACAAGCAAATCATGATTCTCAAACTAGAATCTAAAGAACACTGTGAACATATTTGAAGGCAGGAAAGAAAAAAAAAAAAGAAAACAGAGTTAGTACCTTTCTGTGCACATCTTGCTTTTAGTGGTGGCAGCTATGAGTAAGTTATAGGTGAAGTCTGAAAAATGATCCCTGATGATTCATCTTTACTTACTTTGCCTAAACTGGCTTACTCCTGAACACACAATCATACCCCTTCAGTGGTAACATACCACAGCAGGGGCCTTGAGATGAGAAAATTTCACTAAAGGGCTAGTTTAGAAAAGTTAACTTTACCCTTTTTATGACAAAAATTTCCTAGAAATAGATTTCCACGGTAATAAAAAGGGCTTGGGAGGAAAAAAGAAAAAAAAAGAGTGGGTTAGCAGGAGGCACACACTATCTACCTCATGTTATATTTCTGTGGTTGCCCTGGGCTATGACATTTTCCCCCACACCCCAAGACAGGGCTGCAACTCACACCCCATAACATCAGAATGCGCCCTGGCAATAGCTGCTCCAGAGGTCCCTCTAAAGTTGTTCCTTATGGTGTAATTGATTTTTCTTCTGCATAAATCACACAGGTTGCAGCAGTGAATCGGACTTTTCAGGGTCTATCCATTCTCTTGCCTCATCCCTGCTGCAAACATCTAGAACAGCAAAGAGTCATTTATGACCCTAGAGGAAGGAACAGGAGATGGAAAGTTCGGGAGCAAGCAATTGTTTTACTTGTATCACAATGGTACCTCCCATGAATAAAAGGAAATCAGAGTAAACACTCCACCTAAGTGTTCTGTGAATGGCAGATATGCAGTTGGAACTATTAAGATCCAATTAATTTATTTTTATTTATTTCAATTAGACAAGACGCAATAGGTTGGGGTGGCTAGTACGCAAAGAGAATGATTATTGCCCGTTTGGTTTAGTAAGTGCTGCAGGATAGTGCCTCAATTCACCGAAACCTAAAGAGGTTTCAAGATCTGACTAGTGCATAATAGCGCCAAGGAATTTAATATCATTCATGTAATTTGGTGGTGACACCCAATTTAAAAGACAACGTTACAATTCACAAAGTTACATTTTGGATCCCTCAGCTCATACTGAGCAACACTGTTTTGCACAGAAGAAATTACCACTGGGCTTATTCATGCCATAGGAAATAAAGTCAGAATAAGGGCATCAGAATCCCATGTTTATTGGAAAGACTCAGGAAGGTTTTACTGTGTTTACTGAAAAGACATCTGGAAATGCACACACCAGGAGATAAGATCCCTCTTGTATGTCCTCTGAGCACTCAGAAATCAGAGCTCAAAGCTTCTAGATTCAGTTTCTGCAACTATATTCTGATTACAGCCAGAACTACAACCTGCTCAGCCAAACAAGCTAGGCTCAATTACCAGTAGTCTCAGTTCTCTCTGCCTGTCTGACTATTGTGTACTTTTAGCAAATTAATTAGGTGGTGCTGCTCTTGAGAGTTTTATTTTAACAGTTAAAACCAGATGGATTTCTATTGCCAAAATGCCGATTGTCTCAAATGCAGTATTCTAATCTGACAAAGACAGAGCATGGAAAGTGTAGAGGAAAAAAGCCAACAAAGAGATGAAAAGCACTCTGGTCAGAGTTGTTATTGTTACCCACAGAAAATACAATTAAAGGCATGGATCAGACATACAATAAATCCAGTCCTCTGGAAACATTAGTTGAAACATCAGAAAATATTCACAACCACCCGCTCTGATTTCTCATCCACAGCTTTCCCACTGCTCCAGTACATCCTAACCAATGGCGATGTAGCTCGTTTCAGGTGTCCATACATCATACCTTAAGTGGCAAAACACAAGGGAGTTTAGTAAGGAAGGTCTGAAACTGATTACTAATTGTGGTCCAGAGGTTACTGGGCGAATCCATCGGCAAGGCTTCCATAAAGGTAGCAATATTTTCCAAACAGCGTAGCATTGCACCCCCTGCTGGTAAATTCTTTTTGTTGTTTAAGCCCTGGGAAACAAAACGAGAACTGTAAACAAATGTACACATGCAGAAGTGGTCCCTTAAACAGTATTTGGAAATGCTGACGTTAATTTGTTCAGACCAAATACTACTTACCTCTTCTATAATGCTAATGATAAAACGTTGTGCAGGGAATTTGAACTGTGTATGTGACAGTTAAGTCTAGTTCAATTACTAAAGTACTAACCAAAAGATTTTGAGCCAAAATGTTATAAGCAGGGTCCTAACTCATAACCTGCTTAGACTGGCATGGTAGTAAAAAAAGCAGAACTTGTAAAGTATTCACCAGTGGATTGCCCATGTTCTCCTTGGGACAGTTTTAAACAAGATATGTTCATTAATGTTCAGTAGACCATGTATGCTTTTTTGCCTTGGGTACTAGGGTCAGGCCTGGAAAGACATAAGCAGTTTTAAATTGACATCAAAATCTTTGTATGAAGCAACTGCCATGTTCTTGGAAGAGCAGGACACATGCAAGTGAATAGTGCTAGTGGAAGGATAAAAGTTACAGTAGAAACAAGCCAAGCACACAGAGGGCAGTCAGTGAAAGGCAGGCAATAAATCTTCAGACTCCTTAGAGAAACTGGCAGCAGATACAGGAGAGACGGAGAACTGAGAAGTATGAGCAGAAATGTTCCTGAAAACCAGAAACAGTGCTGGGGGAAGGGATGTCCCACACTACCAATGTAGGACAGCTCCAGGAGCTGGTCTGAGGGGAAAAAAAAGAGAAGCTATCAGTGAGAGCAAAACCCAGAAGGAAAATGGTGAGGACAACCTAATCCTGCTTCCAGGGAGGACAAAACAAAATTGGTGATGCAAATTTGAACTCTTAATGAATGAGGAGAAATGATCCAATATGCCTGATAATGCTAATAAAACTAGCACGATTAACAGAGCTGATTGCCAACATACCTCTAACAGCTGGCTCAGAGCAGCAATGGAACTCAGCTCACTGAAGTCCATAAGAGACGTGGCCAAGGTCCGTAAAAAACTTCCATCTGAAATTCGAATTACATTTTTACACTGACTGTCCATATAGAGGTAACTGAAATGGTGAGAAATGCACTCAGGTACCGCACATTACCTTTAATATTGCTCTGGAAGAGCTGGGGGAAGATGCCATTGGGAGCCAGCTGATGGAACACACAACGGAGGAACTGCTTGGCCACACCTGCAGCATTTCCAGGGATCATCATGCTGAAATGAAAGGAAGGAAAAGGAAGAAGAAAGAAATTGCATTGCAGATGAAACAGTTCTCAAAGCTGACTACATGGAGAAAATAAAGATGATCCTATTCTTTTTAATTATGGAGGTGTTCAGTTACGAGAGAGACAGTCAAAAGCAGAACTGTCCTGATCCCAAAAAAAAAGATTTTATTACTTCAGCTCGACTACGCAGAGCTGAAAAAGTTATGTACACATTCCTAAAGTATTTAAGTCTTAATAAATTGTTGCATTTTTACTCATTCTCCACATAGTTTTATTTGTGAGTCATCTGAGTTTGAAATATAATCCTGTTCTCACCTTGTGTATTTCAGTGATACAGGATGAGATTCTTGGCTTTATCATAAAACACATGAACAACGGGTAAACACACACATTATAATATCATAGAATCATAGAACAGTTTGGATTGGAAGGGACTTTTAAAGGTAATCTAGTCCATCCCCCCCCGCAATGAGCAGGGACATCTTCAACTAGATCAGGTTGCTCAGAGCCCTGTCCAACCTGACCTTGAATGTTCCCAGGGATGGGGCATCTACCATCTCTCTGGGCAACCCGTTACAGCGTTTCACCACCCTCACTGTAAAAAATGTCTTCCTTATATCTAGTTTGAATCTATCCTCTTTTAGTTTAAAACCATTCCCCCTTGTGCTCTCGCAACAGGCCCTGCTAAAAAGTTTGTCCCCATCTTTCTTATAAGCCCCCTTTAAGTACTGAAAGGCTGCAACAAGGTCTCCCCGGAGCCTTCTCTTCTCCAGGCTGAACAACCTCAATTCTCTCAGCCTTTCTTCACAGGAGAGGCGTTCCATCCCCCAGATCTCCAAGAGGTCCATGTCTTTTCTGTGCTGAGGGCTCCAGAGCTGGACGCAGTACTCCAGGTGGGGTCTCACCAGCGCAGAGTAGAGGGGCAGAATCACCTCCCTCAGCTTGCTGGCTATGTTTCTTCTGATGCAGCGCAGGATACAGTTGGCCTTCTGGGTTGCGAGCACACACTGTCGGCTCATGTCCAGCTTTTCATACCCCCAAGGCCTTCTCAGCAGGGCTGCTCTCAATCCCTTCCTCCCCCCGGCTGTATTGATACCCGCGGGTGCGATACCGGGGGTTGCCCCGACCCAGGTGCAGGACCTTGCACTTGGCCTTGTTGAACCTCATGAGGTTCACACAGGTCCACTTCTTGAGCTTATCCAGGTCCCTCTGGATGGCACCCCGTCCCTCAGGCATGTCGACCGCACCACTCAGCTTGGTGTCATCTGCAAACCTGCTGAGGGTGCACTCGATCCTACTGTATGTCATTGATGAAGATATTAAACAGTACCGGTCCGACCAATACGGACCCAATACGGCAAAATAATAATTTGCCTTTTGCAGTTTCCTTCAAGAGATGAGTACTTCCTAATCATTCATAAAACGAATGGTTTAATTTAAAAAGCTAAAGTATTATCTATTTACTCACAAACTGCACATCTTAACATTTTTTACAGCTTCTCAAAATGAATTTATCCTATTCAGCATCTGATTTACATAATGAGACATCATTACCAGGGGTTCTCCATGGCCAAGGATGATTCACTTGATTGAATGTATGGAGATAGTTTATCAAGACAAATACTGAACACAGAACAAGCTAGAAAAAGCTGCACTGAAAATTGTGGAAACCAGAAGGCATCTTTAAATTATGTCTGAATCTGAGTTTTTTCAAGTTCAATACATATGAATATGGGTTCCTGTTCATCTTCAAAAGACATGAGATATTTGAAACAAGTGGAAAAGGACAGGTTTTTCCTCTTACTCACAAACCTTAAATAAATTATTTAAAAGTTAAATTTAGTTCATTTCAGGGCCAGGGAGAATGATGCTTTAGATTAATTGTTTCATTTTTGTCAAGGTATCCTTTGCTACCATACCTTTCTGCTTGATTAGAAAAACTGGTACTTGATGCCAACCTGGAATAAAAATAAAAAATTAAGTGAAGCTCATATGCTTTTTTTGTGTTTCATTTCTAAGTAAGCCAATAAAATATCTTTTTTTTTTAAATAATAAACAAGAATTTTAGAGAACATTTAAAATGTCACCAGAAAGGTCTTCTAAAGAGCACTTAAATTTAGTCAAATCACGTTTGCACAACATATAAACTCTATTCAGTCTTGCAGTCTCACAAATACTTAGCAGCTCTAAAGACAATTCTACTTGCTTCCCTGTACTAGCATGAAGACAATGAAGTAAAGCTATTGCCTCACATGCACATCATGGAAAATTACTAACCTAGAGATCTGGAGGGAAAAAAAGTTTGCCAGAAGCTGCCTACTGACTGAATTGTTTCTGATTAACACAGCAACATAGACTAAGCCAAAATTCTCTACTTGGCAGTCTGAAGTGAGGCTTCTAGTTCCAGATTTTGGCACCTAAGTAACTGGCCTAATTTCAGAAACACTAAGTACCTATGAGCTCTCACAAAGTCAGATGAGAAATACTGGGTTCTCAAAAATCAGGTCATTTATTTTAGTACCTAAATATAGGCTTTGAAGCCAAATATGGGCATTCAATGATGAAAATACTGAACACAATCTTAAAGCAAAATCATGCACTTCAATATCCAGGACATGTAAACGAATAGAATCAGGGCTTATAATATCAAAGCAACACACCTTTAATACTAAAAGCCACTAAAAAGCAATTATAAAGATGTACACTGGAAGCATCTCTTACATACAAAATACCATGCAATTTTTACTTTCATCTGCTGCGCATCAGTGTTTCAGCTGGTGTAAGTTGATATGTCTAAATGGAAAGTTCATAGAGCTATGGTAATTTACATCTCATGATGATCTGGCCTTCAATGTTTATCTTTGATTCACGATCCTTTTAGGCTGGATTCAGCTGTTGCTCAATCCTCTGTCAGCCTCTGTTCTGTAGACAGTTTCCTCACTAGTCACCACTGCAAAATCCAAAAAGGATCCTAAGGCAGCTCAGTCGAATTTATCAGTGTAAACCAAAACGGATGGTGATTTTCATTAATGATGCATGGCAAGCTGGGAACACAGCATACTTTCAACAGTGCAATAATCTCAGGCTGGATGGTACAGGGCATTGAAGATTATATTCTCTTTAGTTGTCCCAGCATAAATCAGAAAAACTCATTAGAGCCCCTGACTCCACTGTTGTTAAGGGGAGTCCGCACTAAAATACAACATATTAATTCTGCTGTGCAAAGCTAATTCTGGGTGAAAACAGGTCTGAAGTCACCTTCAAGCAATAAAGACCTTGATTCTGGAATAACTGTAGCATCTGCTTACATTAAAGCACATGACGATTTCTGCAGAATGCAATGAGACTAATCACAGGTGTAATGGACATTACGCTTATTTTCAAAAATCTACTAAAGCATAAAATATTTCTTCTAAAAGAAATCAAAGTTCTCTCCTTTTGAATGCAATAATGCAAGTGTGGTTTTTATGATAAACAAAACATTTGGTTTCTAACTTTGGAAAAACTTCATGAGACATGAACTACACTAAACACTTGGGAACATGTGGAACTTTTTGAGATTTACAGCTTGTATGTATTTATCATTGCTACTCTAAATATTTTGTTGCACAAAGGCCATGAACCCCCATCATTACCTCCACTTTGCAGACCACAAAGCAGAACAGCAAATGGACAGTAGACAGTAAATGTACATGTTAAGAACAGAAGTTAAGCTCAAAGCTCCTCACTAACTCAAGAGCCTAAATGCCATTTTCAAACAGGGCTTTGATGTTTGGAAACCTAAATCACACTGGAAATCAATGAAATAAGAATCGACAAGTCAAAATCTTGATTCAGGAACTCGAGCATAAAGTTAAGTGCATGCCAGTCTTATAAAAATGTCAATCTCTAATTGTCAGTAACTTGAACCCAGAACTTTTTCTCTTCTGAAAATCCCATGCCTATGTGTACCTGTGGGTACCCAAATAACTTTTGAAAATCTTTCTGTGTCTTGTTTAGGAAATCCAGGGTCTTTCAGAATACCTAACTCCTTATTTCCTCTTCTAAGCATGAAAGTAGTAGTTCCTTTTCTAGGAATAAAAATGCAAGAAGTCTAATTCATTCTCACCTCTGCTGTCAGATGAGTATTTGGAGGTAATGATATGGCACTGCTTCATGAAAGACAGAAACTTAGGTTAAATACATGAGGCACCGGAATGCCTCTCTGCTTGTATATGCTACTTATTTTGCATGTATTCAAAGTAATTCCTTTGTGGGGAGCCTCTTACTGGACCTAGAATTTGTCAGAAGTGACAGCCAGTAGGAACAACACAGGGCATTTACCAGGAATACCCCATGTTGCATGCCATCTGCTGCTCTAAAACAGTCAGCTATCTCACTCCAAAGATGCAGTATTTCTTCCTCAAAGCACAGAAAAAGGTAGCCCACTCGGCCCTCATCCCTTGATAATTTATCTTCCAAATGATTTACTCTGTGTGGCTATAGTACTGCTGTATTTATAAGAATCACACAGAACGGATAGTATCTGTCTAGATTAGAAACTTTGCCTGCATCAGAGTTCATTAGCAGTGACAGCAGGGAACTGCAGCCTTGCAATTAATGGAAATGGAAGATTTGAATAGCTGCTGTGTTTAAATGGAATTGGGAGAGGCAGGGCTGTGAAGAGCCATGCCCCTGCAGAAGTCACAGTCAAGCAATTTTAACTTCAGTCAGTGAAAAGAACACGGAAAAGGAGAGCTGCGCATCATTTCTGCACTTCTAGTGCTGCTCAGAAGTTTATTCTGAAACACCCCCAACGCGTCCCTCCCACCTCTTAGGCAGGAAGTTGTGGAAGTAGCCGAGGCAGCAACAACAAACAATACAATAGTAATGGTGCATTTCAATTATTCCAGCACACTGGGTAATAGACACCAAATGTTTAAGACCTTATCAGAGACATCTCATGCAGCAGCTGGCTAGGAAGCCCTCATAAGGAGATGCAACTCTTTACTTAGTCTTAATTAGCATACAAAATATGGTTGAAAAGCCTGAAGAGCTTCAGGTATGCTAATGAATGATCATACCTATGAGTCAACAGTTCTCCAGGAGCAACAAAATTCAGAAAAGCTGACCAAACTTGTGCATAACTTCTAAAGCAGGAAACTACATAAAAGTGAAAAATTCCGTCAAAGCAGCAAAAAGGCATAGCCAAGAGAATTCAGTCTTTACAACAAGCGCAGAAGTTGTTAAGAACATTACATTGGAAGCACAGGGCCAAGGTACCCCACTTGTTAAGAACAACTTCAAGAGAGCAGAAGGAAAGGTGAGGGAGGTTATTAGAAAAAAGAAGGTTTCTTTTAAAAACCTGAAGTCATGTCTCAAATGAAAGCAGAAAAGAGCATAAATTCTGACAAACCCAATGTAAAAACCACACGAAGGCAGGCCAAAAAACAGTTCAAGGAGCAACTAGCAGAAGGAATAAAAACTAACAGTAAATTTTTCTTCAAATAAAACGGGATCAAGAAGCACACCAGAGAGTATGCTGCATCAATTACTGTTCAGGTAATCAACAGCGCACTCAAGGAAGATAAGGGTACTGCAGAAAAACTGAATTAATTCTTTACATCACCGCTTACAGTGGGACAAGCTGGGGAGATTCCCGAGCTGGAACCTCCCTTTGGAGACATCAAAGGAGCTGCCCAAAATTGAAGTGACAGTGGAAAAATTTACATAAGAAATTGATAAAATGATGAGTAACAAAGAAGTGGACAGGACCAGATGTTATTCACTTAAGAGTTCTGAAATATATAACTTCATATAGTGAGTTTATATAAACCCAATTCCAGGCACAAAATTCTTCCAGCCATATAGGAGAGAGGACAGTCCTGAATTTACCTTCCTACAGACTGCATGATGTCCAACAGCAAAGGAGCAGCCAAGTCCGGACTAAGGTGAATGAAGGTTGAGAGCACAACTATGGCCAGGCCTAGTGTTTCTTCATCATATTCTTCAAGAATAGCCCCACAGTCATGGCACCTGCAAAGAACAGTTTTAAAAACTGACATTAACAAATTGAAAGCAAAGTATTACTATATATACATATGTGTATAATTATGTCTTTTTAAAGTACTATTATTTAGTACATTCTATTCAAAATTTATTTAGAGAGATAATGTAATTGTGATCTTTCTATAATTAATAACAGTCCATGGCTTTCAAACATAAATAAAGCTTCTCACTAGCTGCACTGGCTGTTTTTTCACTGAAATGAAAGAGGGCCACAAGGCAGGCCTTGTTTTGGGTCCTTCATTGGTAATTGTTAGCTAATTCCCTCACTCTATATTAGACTGCTTCAGTTTGTACTATCCAAGAGAAATCTGCAGCAGTGAAGACTAGCCTTCAGCAATGTGAACACCAGCCAGTTCGTGCGACTTGGGCTCAGGCGATGGCTGAAGTCCCTGGCACTCTTCTATTTAGCAGCATAGACACAAACAATGACACTCATAAATGATCTTAAAGAGATGGAACAATTTCACATTGTCCTTCCTGTCAGTCATGAATTATGAATAACAAATTATACAATTAGGAAACAATGATCCGATTGGTTCCCACAGCAGTTATAGCTATTAAGAAAGAAATGAAAGGACCTCTCAGGGGCACAGAACCTTAGATTTCAGAGAAGTCTCCTTTCCCAGGGCAGATTTGCTGCTGAGTCCTTCCTGAAATGCTCAAAGATAACTGATGAAGTTCTGAAAGGGCTCCATAATGACTAATTATAAAGGGGATGTCAGATTTAGGGGAGATGAGACAGGCTTTCACAACCTATGAAAAAGGCAAACCAATGTGGGAAACTGGCTTATCTCAGCCCAGTAGGAAGGCTTGCTTAATTTGATCAATCAGTTGCTAATGACTCCAACAAACTGTGATATTTTAACTTAATGGAATTGTACAGGCAATTTTCTTGCCTTTGTTACTGAACAGAAAGAAAATATGCCAACAAAGTCATGAAAGTCAAGCTCAGCTCAAGGTCTGTATAGGTGGTGCTAGAGTTTTGGTAAAATGGCCAAATAAAGTGCCAAAGATAAGCCTAACTTTTGGGATGCTTCATTTTGTCACACTAAAAGGTCCACTTCCAGTCACAGCCTGCACAATGGCCCTGTCTTCCTCCAGTGATCATCCTAGCATGTCTGTCTACTGGATTGAGCGCAGAAGCACAAGCAAGAACTTATGGTTTCTCTTGCCAGTTTTTGACCAAATCAATGCATGGCTCCCTGCTGACTGCTTTACTTCTCCATTAAATGAGTACACTTATGTTTAACACTTGCTTTAGAGGCATTTTAACCAACCAGTTAAGGTTTGCATAAGCTTTCAGGATCAGTGAGTATCAGCATTAAAAATGCTATGTTGGTATGTTGGTAACTGTTGATGTGTAATCACATGTAATCTATTTCAACAGAAACCCAAAGGAATTTTAAAAGAGAGGTTTGGGGTTTTTTTTTTCCCTATGGCAAAAGTGGTTTCTGATGGATCACAAGGAACCCTTGATTTAAAATAGGATGGAAAGTGTTTCCCCTGTCCTCTGTGCACACACAATACCCTGAGTCATCATTTCGCCTGTGCAAACTCACACAGATTCCACTGAATTAAAAGCACATCTTGCTGGCAGTGTTTAGAAAATGTTTACCTTCGGGTAAAAAAATGAATTAAAAAACTTAGCATAGAGATAAATGATAGAATAGATACTATATTTCCATAAAGTATATCCATACTTTACTTGACCTATTTGAAGTTCAACTAGTTCTTTGAAAGGAACAGAAAAAAAACTTACTTGTCAGTCATCACAGTGGGCTGGTCATCAGCAAATTCTTCTGGTGCAGGTACAAACATACTGACTATACTGGGTGCTGACAGCAGGCTAGATTTTGTGGCACCTTAATGTAATTAGGGGGAAAAAATTTTAAAAAAGGAAAGAAAGTCACTAAACGTAAATCCAAACTGCTTGAAAAGCAGACTTCTAAAGAAGAGCCATAATGGTTTTACTGTGCACAGAAATAATAAATAAAGTGTGTCTACAAAAGGATATATAGCACATTCCTTGCTTCTGCCAGATTGTTCCAATTGCCTAGAACTATCAATTAAAAAAAAAGAAAAAAAAAATCCTCAGAAAAAAGATAACAAAGAACAAAAATTCCAGGAAGGTGGATGTAATTGTATCTACTCATTTTTTAGGGAGAGAGGATGATTCTACAGTTGCTATGAGACTGGACACCAGAAGATTTGCAGTCTTCTCACGTAATTCTGGGGAATTGCCTTCCCATAGTTCTTGGTGACATGAAGAAGGAAATAAGTTCATAGTCTCAACACCAGGTCATCAACTATTCATACCATCCCTAACAGAGGCATAGGAGAGAAATCAGGAAAGGACAGCTAGAAGAAATAATTCATAAGGAGCTGAGAAACATTGAAAATATTGGAGGGCTGATGATTAGAAATGCTTTCTGTTTAAAGTCTTCACAAGCATCTTTATTCTCCGAAGCTGAGTTGTTCAGCTGGGGGCATAGCCACTGTGATCATGCCAACATATGGGGTTCCCTTTGCCTTTGGCACTTTTCATGCACCTAATTCCTGATGGATGCTTGTTTTAACAGGAAAAGTTATGTGTAATGGAAGATTCAAATTCTTGGCTTCTCTGAGTCCTGCTTTCCAGAATTACAGCAATATAGGGTAGTCTGACAGTCTAACATCTCTCCAGTATGGTGGTTTTCTCACCTCCGCCCCTTTGTTTTCATTAAGCAGACAACAGCAATTGCAGAAAAAAACATACAGAAAAGACAACTCTCCAGCTAGTCTGGTTGCAAAGAAAATCTCAAGAAGAATAATCAGACACATTCATGAGCCATCAGAAACTTGGATCAAAGCTACTGTGATGTACGAGCTATGTCATTCATCTGAGAAGCCTTGTGATGATGATGATTTAAATATTGTTAGCAGTTTCATTCTCCAGGTCACTAAGACGGAAAGAGAGATTCAATTCTTGAAGAAAAACACCTCTTTTGGTCGCCACACATAGCTGACATGATAGAAATAGCATTACCCCTGTTCCCATACAGTTCAGCTCCAATAATGAATCCAGGGAGCTCAGCTGGTAGATATCACCATTATGTATACAAGCTGTCCTCAAGGGCATCTCATTCTAAAGACCAATCTATGAAAAGCTCATTTTGTGAACCAATTTTTAGAAGAGTACAATGCCCTTCTGATGCCAATTCAACCACAGATTAAGTAATCCATTATTGATTTTCTTGCTGGTTGCTTCAATCTGCAGATTCAGATTTAACGTTAACATTAAAATGTTCTGATAATATTTAACTGTGGAAACAGGAGAATGCTGCGCAACCTAAGGTAGGTTCAGATGGAATTTGTGATGAGATAATCCCAGTTTCTGCAGGAAAAGCAAATTTAGTATCAGCTCTCAGGCAAAATAATCTAAGAAGCTCCCACAATTTCTGAACTCAAAATACGTGGAGCGATGAGGGCTTGTTTCACAAGAATAAGACAGGTTTCAAACAATCATGTTACTAAGTACGGAAGGAAATATTTCTTTTACATCCAGAGTTCAGTACTTCATAATTGTCCCCTGAGATTTTGTTGGATATGAGCAGACACTCCAGGAAGTCCAGAATACTCTTCACTAATGTAGACACCATCCGGAATGCAAGGAATAGGAGTAGTTTTTCACATATTTCTAGCCAGTTTTTTCCCCCCTTCACAAATGAATAAAGATCCCTCTACTGTGACTTTGGAAGTTTCACTGTCACATTCTCTAGATGTAAATCCCACTGCAGCACACAAATGCTAAAAGCTGTCATAACGCAGGTTACAATGTTGGAATAAGACTTAACTACTCAAAATAAAAATGTCCTTTCTCGTGCACTGAACAGTAGGAAAAAACCATGATTTAGGCAAAGAAGGTAGGTTACTGCCCCATTGCAAGGCTGTAATGAAGTCTGGATGTATTTTGGCTGTGAGGGAGAAGAGTTCATAAAGAAATGAGATTCAACCACACTCTGCATACAGAGTCTCTTATTTCCAGGGTGACAGCCAAAACAAATATTAGCAGAAAGCCAGTACTTCTTATCAGTTGTCCCTGTCTTGAATGAAATGTCTTGTCTAATAATTTTTCAGTAACTTACGTTCTGCCGGACAATTGAGGACTTTAATACAGCTGAACGGAACATAAAATTTAACACCATTTGGTACTAACCAAAAAATCTTCCTGGCAGTCTTAGCGGAGATATCAGGTCAAATGAACACTGAACTAACCTCTGATTCTCAGTGGTGGTCCCTCCAAGTCGGGGTTTAGGCAAACAGGGACATTGCACAGCCGCTTTCCATGCTGTATCTGCTCTGTGAATAAATACAGAACTTCAGTCTCCAGAATATGAATCCAGCATCTGTCACCAGCACCACAAGTCTTAACAGTTAAAACAATAGAAAGACAAATACAACAGCTATTAAAAAAACAAAGAAAAGAGTTAATTTTTTAAGCATAGAAAAGTGGGTGGGGAGGGGGAGAGAAAGATGAAAGAAGTCCACAAAGGAAAAAGGACACAGATAGGCTAGTACCAAAGAAGGCATTTTAGAAAAGTGTCATGAAACAATAAAGGAAGTGCTAGCCGTAAAGATTCAACAAGATATGGAATACATGAGTCACAAAAAGAGAAAGACAGGTGTTTAGAAATACCAAGAGACTAGAAGTCAGATATAGTTTGTGCTGACAAAAGCTAGACACAAAATGATTTTATTTTACAGATAGCAAGGTTGGGAAAAGAGTGGTTTGAAATAAGAAATGAAAGAGACACATGATACCTACCAATGTGGGAAAAACAAACAAACAAACATGCATGAACCAAGCATGCATCATGTACTTATGTGGGATAGGACTGTTTCCTAGTTGTTATTCCTGAGTATAATGAGTCTTAAAATTGTGGTGTGACATCGAAATGACTGAGCATTTGTCCTGGGAAAAAAAACTGTTTTCTGTCCAACTAATAATTTTACTTTGAGGCTAGTGGTTGAAAAACAGACTGAGAGATGCAAAGCTTTCCGGAAAAGAACATTTTACTTTGTATCTCCATGCTTGGAGGCCTTTAGCTGGAATGAATGTTGGAGGGAAAAGTCATAGATGTTGTGAAGAAAGCTGGTGGACTTGGAAGAAGATTAAAAAGACAGAGTTCCTAAGTGGTTCTGAGTACTGACTTGTTCCTCTTGAATACAGAATAATTACTTATTGCAGAATGAAAGCAGTAACTTTTTCATCTCTAAACCCCTGTCTGAGAAACTAGGTGATACCAACTAGTATCACTCTTCAATACTCTTCAATAAACAAACTTACCTGCTGATAGGACAAAAAAACCATTGTTATCATTGACAAATTCTGACCTTTATGATTTAAGGATCTCATGCTACTCAGCAGACTGGAGTAAACGATAATACTGAACTAAATACCACATCTTTAGCCATTCTTCAGCTACAAGATTTAGTCTGATGGAACTTGACGCTGAAGGCTGAATTAAGCAAAAGCTTTAACTCAGTTGTCCAGAACTGGTGGTGAGACATTCATTCAGCATGCTAACTTCCATATAACGTTTTAAGCATTCCTTTCGCTGGATGCATCTGGATCTGCTGATAAATTCCTAAGAAGCACGATTCCGTAATGTCACAAACATCAAGATGGGCAATAAAATATCTACCATAAACCAGAATGAATTCATTGTTTTTACTGACATCTGCTATGAATTTGGTCATAACAGAAAATCTTTTACAGAAGAAAAAAAACCAGATAAACCACTTGAGTAATGAGGAAATTATGTGCTTAATTCAGTTTACACTGCTTTGCATTCATCTTAAAAAAAACAGGTCAGTGAGCGAACAGAAACTTCAGGTGTTCAGCATGAGTCGGAAGAAACTTCTCTAAAGAGAAATAAAACTGGCTGGTTTAAGGCACAACTCCTTGGTGTACCAACACCATTGTAAACATAGATGCAAATAAATGATTCCATGCACCAGGGATGAAATCCCTAATGAAATCAACAGGGATACTTCCATTTCATTCAATGAGGCCAGGAAATAATCCAAGTAATATGCAAAATTGTGGGGACATCACTGTACCAGAGGATTACCTCCAAAATATGTAACTATTCCAATTCATACCAGGTAAGAATCTGGTACTCACTATAAAGTTTCACTTTAGACTTGAGGTTGATTACTTATCTGCAATGGTAGAATAGAAATACTCACTTTTTTAATGGATTGATACAGAAAGTAATTGGTTTAGGAAACAGAAATAAAGAACAATAAATGCAGCTCACCAGTATCCCAAGTGCTGATATTGTGGGGAGCGCTAGACTGGTGTTCCAGCTGCCTCTTCATTAGCTGGTTCATTGTCAGAGCTCCCAAAGAGCCTCTTTTCATTTGTCTGAACTGAGCTGCAAGTCAGAAATGCAAAAGGATTTCAGGGGCTCAGACAACATGTAAAACTACTCTTTTTTTCCTAATCTTACAAGCCAGCATGAGGTAAATAGTGAAAGGACAGTGACGGCTTGCTCTAAGGATCTTGCTCAAGTCAACATGCACTTTTCACACAACTACATAGGCTACAATTCTGGCCCCAATGACATCAGTCATAAGTGACTTAGATTCAGGATCTCATCCGCTGTGTCAACTGTCAGTGCCTTTTTGTCTCCAAATATCATGAAATCTCTTCAAAACACTTGATATCTGTGAAGTGTAAGATACTACCCCAAAATTCCCATGCTGACAGGTGATAAATGTATACTTGAATCTCACTCACATACAATGTACCGAGGAAGGAAACTTGGTCTCCTCCCAGCAAAGTATGGAGGACTGCTCTGTCCATGGTCACCGCAGGAAAACAAATTCACTGACCATGTACCACCAGCACCCTTCATGAGTGACACAACCTGAAAATACCTAAATATCCACCCCTCAGGCATACCACCTGCACATTATTCTGAAGTGTGAAGCCAGCATGCCTTTGAAGATGGGTCTCTTTTGTAACTTCACTGCCATTCTTCTTACATAGAGCTATCAAGCAACAAGCATTCAATTCTTCCTCATCTGACTATTTACAATACTTCTTTAAACAGATAATACTGTTTGATTTAAGAGGTGTGCCTCACTGGATAATGCTTCCACACACACACAAAAAAAACAATTGTGGACTTAAAATTTAAGACTTTTTTGGTTATGTATTTTCTCAGTGCTTAAATGGAGGAAGAAACAGATTATGTACAACTCCTGACTTTCTTACTTTTTTCTCCATTCATAAGAAAATTCAAATTGAATGAACATAATACATTCGCTTTCACAGTTGAGTCTGAGCAATATATTTCCACCACTGAAACCAAAATCATTGTTCACAGTATGAAGACAGAGTTTTAAGGCCTTGAACAAGGCATGTGAGACTGCTGACACGCATCTCCATGCAGGAAAGCTTTTAAAACGTTGCCGTAAGTATATGTTTAAGTGCTTTGCTCAACAGGGCCTTAAAGCAAGGGCAACAAAGCAAAATCTTCTCCTAATGATTATTTTCATCTGCAGCTACATTCAACATCGTCAAAAAGAGTATTAACATAATACCAGGTAGTTCCGATGTAAAATTCCAAACAGTTCCCAGCTAAGCTCTGAAAATAAATCCAGCATTTCACATGATTAACTATGATGAAGTAGTACAGACAAAGGATAAACTACAACTTTCAGAAAGCTCTGAGGGGTTGAGTGCCTTCTCCTAAATTTGCTCTACTCAGTTTCTACATGAGAATTTCAAATTCAGAGAAAGAAGAGTACTCCCTAACAAAACAAATATAGGCCCTAAGTAATAATAAACACAATAACTTCAGTGGGAATCTGCACACTGAAATTATTTTATTAGGTGAAGTATTTTAAAGTTTTCCCTCATTATACCCCTTCATTGTATCAGAGTGCATTTAAACTCTACAAACTTCTCCAGCATTGCTGCAAAGCAGTCCTTGTATAACTGAACTTCTGGAACTGAATCAGACCAAGAGACCATTCCATGTTTCACTTTTAAAAGTTATATTGCAGCTGTCTTTCACAGCAAATTAGGAGAAAAATAGAATTTCCATCGTTTCCAGGGCAAGGACTTTAAATAGATGCTTTATCAAGCATAGAATTTCCTGATGAAAGAACAGCAATTAACGTTAGAACTGACAAGACTGCTTGGAGTGCAGATGACTGTCAAAATATAGAAAATTATCTCTCTGAATTTTCTTAACAGCTTCTGTGATTCTTATTAAAAAAATTTCATGCGTATTTCATGTAATCAGGCTATTACAGCAGGTTTGGATTTCCAGGGTTATTTACCTGATTTCTCAAGGACAGCCATGATTTCAAATATTGATAAGTTAAGAAAAAAACCTAAAAAACAAAAAAAACGAAGAGTTGCCAGCCTTTGAACAGTGTTGGAGCCAGGCTGATTGCTGTGGACCAGCATGTGACTTTTCATACCTATGACTGACTAGGGAGGCATGGGGAGGGAAGTTTTCCTTGATCAGATCTTCTACAAGAAACCTAACAATCATGAGAAGATCAGTAACCTTCATATAGTAGCTGGCGAGCCTTTTATATGTTAGCTAGTGATCTGGTCAATCATCCCTCCATTGCTGTGGAATTCTCTACTCAAGAAGAGAAGTCCAAAGGCAAAATCTTCCTATCAGAGTTAATGATGTATGCTTTCTGGGGCCAGGCACTGGCTGTACAAGTAATGTTATCTATTTGTGTTACAGAAGTGCCTTGTGCTCACAGTCTTGATCAGGGCTTATTATGCAAAGCACTGCAAAGACATATAGTAGAAGGTCAAAAATATTTCAGTCTAAATGGACAAGAGACACAATGGAAGCATTCATGTCCCTTTTCGCAGTTGGAAACTGAGGCACACATAAAGAGGAAAGGAATATTTACAAAGGAATGTAGGCTCAATAGATAGATACTATTCCCGATTTCATATATTGGAATTTACAGGAACACCTAGCACTCAGTGAAACCAGACAGAGATAGGTCTTAACTGGCACCTCTTTAGCTGCTTTAGTAAGTCACATGTGTACCATTAGGTGGCCAACAAATGTACTCTGACTACGAGATGCACATGACACGAGACGCTTGGGGTAAAACTGGAGAGGAAACCTCTAATTTGGAGTACTCATCTAGCATGTCTAAAATAACATCTTCCTTTAATAGGCCAGACACCCCTTCCAATCAAATCAGCTGATGCTGAATTTCAGAAATTAAAATTTAACTTTTCTACAGCAATCTGAAATTGCAGTTCAGCAAGATGGTTGAGCTGATCTAGCAGCTCACTGGTATAAAAGCAGGTCATCATCTCCCCTCCGTTTTCTACTAGTCAGAGTCCTGCCCCATCAACCTTCGGATGTGTTACTTAACATTACCTAGATGGACATGCCATTCTGGATTTTTTTAGTGTTCTAACATGCCTCCACCTTCCAATGTTATCTACATCTGCTCTGTTAAGCCATGTGTCAACGTCTACTTAAACCAACCCAGTTCACTTTCCATTGAAATGGGTATGGCAGTCTCAGATAAATAGTTACCGCATTTCAGCAAGCAACTGAGGAAGTGGCATTTCAAGGCATTTTACAAAAATTGCAAGAGATTTTTTTCCTAAGGTACAGCAAGAAATGTACTGAAGACCACAGTAACAGCCCTGTGGAGCTCTCATCCTCTGCTTCTGTGCACTGACAGTTGACGATGCTTTCTCTCACTGGAAAATAAACATTCAGCTTTAGTGAAATATTGCTTTTAACTGCTCCTACTCTAATTCAAGAAAACCACATCTGTCAAATTTGCCATGTCACAACAGAAAATCTTGCAGCCCCTAACTGCTAATATCCTGCTGACCATCAGAGACTTAACAGATCTAACAATATCCAACACAGCTGTACTTCCAAGATTCAATGAAACTCAGGGGAAAGCATTTACCATATATGATATGCATCTGATACACAAATACAGCAACTTAGATTTAATCCTCAAACCAGAGGTAAACTTACTTGATATGGAAGAGTGACTACTTGTCTCTGGGACATCTGCTTCAAGGGTTGGTGCAGATGATGACTCTCTTGGCATTTCCAGTGTTGAAAGTCCTTTGGCAGCAGGATCTGCATATGAAAATTGTGCTTAAACTCTCAGTATTTAGAATCAATAAGTATTTTCCACCTGCTTTCTGCCTGGATGCCTTTTTCACATCTTTTCAGTCATTTATTCACCATCTGGCATTCCCAGCAGTTTTAAAAGGATTCAGTGTGTGTAAGAATTTTTATAGAGGCACAGGGATTACTGCTTAAAATCACTTTTTAAAGGAGATTTCTACCTATGCCCTTTAGAGCTCAGAACTAATAAATGCACATACAGTTTGATTTTGATCCCGCTCACAGAGTGATTATCAGAACCACCAACATGCAAATAAGAGAGGTACCGCTGATGTAAAGTTAGTTTAAGTGACAGCTTAGCATCTTTTATTGTCTTATCTCCAACATGTTACCAGTTTTCATTCAAAAGGCTGCTGATCTAGCAGCTGATCCTAAAGATTCAGAGAGTTTGAGATTCTATCATTAAAAAGAAAAATAAGCCATTAAAAACTAACGCTTTTATTTTATGCTAACTGATACTGTCGATATAGGAAGAAAAAAGCAAAGAAATTTTCAAGTATTGATGGCTAGTTTCAGCATATCCTGTAAGAATGAATATATATCTGTCCTGTAAAAAATCTCAGGCAGTAAACTGTGTAGCCCAGTATCATGCACTTGAAGAAACAACCCATTTGGATATTTAATTCAGAGATCAGTATATCAGAAGCCCTTCTAAAACATATGGAAGTGTAATAGGCTGACAAAGCTTGAATAAGACTTTGAAATTATCATCAGCCCATTATGATGGCAATATGAAGCCTACTTAAATGAATTACAACACATATGTTCTCAAATAAACTAATCAGTAAGGCTAAACAAAGCAAAACAGAACATAAGAGATACATTAAACTACCCAAGTCACTAAATTACCTAGTTATCTAATTGCCTGTCTGTAATGTAAGCGAGCACTTAATGAGTCCACTGTGAATGTTTTATGCTCCCCTCGGATGACATACTTAGATGCATGCAGCCAAACGACCATCATATATGCTATAATCCTTGGTTCCACATGGTGTTTCAGAACGGGGACAGCCCTTCCAAGCAGTTTCAAGGATGACAGCGTTAGTTAGTGCATGAAAACTGGCCCTTACTAATGGCCAAAAAAGCATTTGAGTCTTATTGCACAATTCTTTCACAACCATTCTTCTCTAACAACCTATGTGAAAAGTTCAAAACCACTCAGCTCTCTTTTGTTTTTACAAAGCTGCAGCGGTTCTTCAGCTTACTGGAACCATAAATGGGACAATAGGCCTGAAACATAAAGGGAATAGCATAACTATGATCACACTGAATGATTTCTCCTTGTAAAAGTGGAATATTGTAATAGGAAATTATACTATGGTTCCTTCTGAAGCAATTAAGAAAGAAGTAAGGCCAGGAATGCATAATTATCCCCCCTCACTGGAAACAAAGAACTGAGGCCTAAAGGATTCTTTCCTTTTTTAATTAATATGTTAAAAAAAGACTGGTAAAATTCTAATAACTGAAAAATCCTGAAAAAAAAACAGCCACAGAAGCAAAGAAGCAGCAGCATACAGTTTTTGAAACTGTTTGTCACATCCAACTGGAAACTGAGGAAACAGCTAAAACACACTTTCTCTCCACCTGAAAAACTTAGTAACAAAACCCTGTATTGAAATGACCTGAAAAAACCTGGGATACACAGAAATACTGTATGGCTTTCCCCATGCTTGAACTTTAAATCTTTAACAAACACAAGCCATGTAAACTTTGTGGATACCCAATAAAAAGAAGGCTAAAAAAAGTTTTTAGTGTATAAAAAAAAAAAGTGTGTATGTCTGATCCTAAATGCAAACTGTGGTTAATTCCAAGTGCTCTTAGTTCTGAAGTCTACAACCTGCTCAGCTTTACACTTCATGATCCATCCAGTCTGCTTTCCACTGCCTTATCCTGGCAGAAGAAATAAAGGCCAAAAATCACTACATGGACTAGATTAGGAGGATAAAAGGCACAGAAGTATGACAATTTTTCTGACTCCCCGCATAAAGAGCCCATGGAGTTTCACTCCCTAACTTGGATATCAGAACCAGTATTTTTGTCACTGAGCTCCACTTCCTTTTCAAATGGGCCCTCGCACATGCACAATACCTGTATGGTTAGTACATTCCTTGTGAGAAACAAACACCTGAAAGCATTCAGCTAGCTCAGACCACATCAGATCCTATAGATACACATCTCTCCCTACACTGGTCTGTTACTAAAACCTTCACACAGTAATAAGCCTTTTGATTGGGTCAGTGATTGAGCTCACCTGCCTCCTTCTGCTCTCCCAGCTTGTCAAGGATGTTAAAGGAAATGTCCAGGTATTCCCTCTGAATAGCACTCACAGCAATCTTCCTCTGCTTCCTCTGGCGAGGAACAATCTGAATCTTAAATTCTGACTCCTCAGTCTCCTCTTCTTGTTTCTGCTCTGTGTTTTGTTCAGTGTCAGACTCTGTGTTGGTATCAAGTTTATCACTTTCTGTTTGGTTTTCAGAATCTTCGGGGACTTTAATAAGGACCGTCTTTACATTTGGGCTTGGAATTGCTCCACTAGGTCTAATTTCCTCCACACTGAGCTCGGAGTTATCATCAAGGGACATTTCTGGAAGGGCAAATGACTTCTGCAGCAGGTCCCTTTTCTGTTTCAGTGTTAGTGGGTTCCCACAGGGCATGTCCTGAAGTTCTTCTGGCTTAACTAACCCTGAAGAGTCCTTTTGATCTTTCGGAGAATTGGAAAGGATCTCCTCTATTATTGCTTGTATCCTTAGAACTAAAATCTTTGGAGCAATCTTCAATACTGAACTGGACCAGAGGAGTTGTACTAAGACTGAGTGCAGAGACATTGATAGGAGTTGAGGGAGACGATGCGGCAGTTTTGCCAGAGACCTCATCATTCAGCTGGTTTGTTGTTTCTTCTTCTTCATCGCTCTCCACTATTCTAAGGGGAGGAAGTGGTTCAAAGACTAAAGAGTCACTGTCTGAAGTGGAGAGTACTGAATGCTTTTCAGGACCCGATGTTGAGTCAGAGGACAAATCTATCAGATCTAAATCTTCCTTGGGACCAACAGGTTTAATCGGAGAGTCCACTTTCACTTCATAGGTTTCCATGCAGTTTAACCTAACTTCTGGTATGACAGGTCTTCTTGTTTCCTGGAAACTCTCTGTACGAGGAAGATTTTCTTGTGTTTCTATATTTTCAGCTTTAGTAGAAGAATTCTGTCGAGATCGTCCATAATCACCCTGCCTGTGTATGGTGTAAGCAGCAGAGACAGGTGGTTTTTCTAAGTCACACCGGTCTATGCAGGACTTCCTGCGATGTTCATCTAATGAAAACAACAGGGAGTCTGCATTCCCTATATCAAGAGATTTTTGTTTTAGAGAGCGCAGTTTTTTTTTCTGAATGCTTTCTTCTCTCACACAGCGTAGAATACTGTCTTGTAAGGCCCCCGTCTCTCTATATTCAGCCAGCTCTATTTCACCTGATTAAAACAGAAAGAGCTAATACTACCTCAGTTGGAGACTTCTGGCAGTTATCTTCATCTTTATCTCACAATTCAACACATGACTGGCATTTCAAATACAAACCCAGTATTAGTCAAAATTGTCTAAATTTTGTTTTAACCTCAGAGCCACATTACAGATTTTTACGATGAACAACAACAAGAAAACCTACTATTTGGATAATAGGGTTTATCTAAATTCTGTTCAAATTCTACTCATCCTGGACAGATGTACCCTCAAGATAGCTGTTTATGCATTGAATAGAAGGTAGCACAGGCAAGTAATTTCTACAGACACTTAGGATGGCTACATTAGGCATGAGAGATGAAAGAAGAAATGAGCTACACAGACCACTCTGAAGAGGTTTCAAAATCATTTGGACTACAGCATTGTGGACATCATTTGGACATCAGTGTATATTAGAGCACATCTACATGTTATTTACTGCAGCAAAGTGGGCACAAAATGGATGCTTCTAATTCAAGAAGCAAGAGTAGCAATAGCAGTGAGGATGTGGCAGCACAAGCCTGACATCAGACAGGTGTTCAGAGAATTTTTCCCCCAATGATCCTAGACCCCAGCAGAGTCCAGCAACTATCACACCACATAGTCATACCTCCCCATCCTAGGGAGGAGTAAAGTGAGCACAGTTATACTTCCTGGTACTACCACTACATTGGTATTTTACTATGTGAACACATTCATTGAGAACATTTTAAAAGGTTATCACTGTTGTTATTATGAAAGACATATTTTCACACAAAACAGAATATTCCTGATCATTATTATCCCCATATTTCAAAACGCTCCACATATGAATCACCATGCAAAAAAAGCAGTGAGAAAAGTTAAAGTAGATGTTTGCTCTAGTCAGAATCATTCCCCCCCATGCAAACACCTGAAAGAAAAAAGGCAGGTGGGTGGTGGTGGAAATCTCTTCAATTTTTTTAGGGTATTCATTTCAGAAACCTAAATTCGAAAATAAAATCCTTCCTATTTTTTGAAACCACCAAATGACCCTTTTTACCAATGGAAAACCATAATATTTGCAGCAGCAACAACAAATTTGCTTACCCTACAGACCCACCTCATCAAAAAAATCAATTTCTATGAAAAAATAAATTTACGTAAAAATCTTCAGCCCAATGGTGGAAGAAAATTGCAACAAATCCTCTTAAACATTTTTACATTCAAAAGCGCTTAAAGTTTCAGAAAACAATTGCTGATTTTAGGTATTTTTATTTTGGAGTGCCTACTTTGAGAATCCTGTAAGAGAATTCATTCAGGGAAATGAGGACTACCTGCTCTCAAAAGTCAGACAGAGTCCTTGATTCAAATTAGGCAGTGCAACAAACTCTACAAAGAAAGGTGGTAGCTTGAAACCAAGAGTAGGAAATTGTATTTCTGCATGAGTTTATACCAACAAAACAATTCATACTTCTCTGAGCATTCATGTCAACTGGTTGATATTTCACCATTTTGCTGCCACCAATTCTTTTCAGTCTTGCAAAGAAAGTTTGAGATTCTTTATTGCAAGGTCCAGTTGGTGTATCATGAATATCAGATTCATCAAAAACACTGTCTTCCTCTGCTGGAGAAAGAAAAAACTTTATTACTCTTAAGAGAGTGCAATTCCTTGAATGAAAAGCTGTCTGTGTAACAAAGCCTCAGCTAGTTTCAATTAAGCTTGAATTGGAAAATGAAGAATCATCTGAAGTTTGCAAGAAAATTTATATCCCAGGTATAGCTTTGCCATTCTTGTTACATCTTGAATTAAGGTCAGAAAGGACAGAGATAAATGAAGAATGGGTTAGCAACAAAAGTATATCAAAGCTTTTACCATTCTAAGCTGATCTTTCCTGTTAATAATAATACAGATTCTTTAGATGGAAGAAGTAGACTATACCTGGATACTGACTTGAGTAAATAACTTCTGTAGTGTTCAGTGAGAAATGGTAAATTGAAGAAGACTGAAATGAGTACAAGAACTGCAAGGTCAGTAATAAACTAGCAAAATAGGAAAGTGAAAAAAGAAGAAATGGATAATCTTGGGAAGCTGGTAATAGTAATAGAATAAGACCTAAGAGTATGAACTATGAAATTATTGATCTAAGTAGTAATAGTAAAACATTATGCTCTAATTTGAGACCTGCTGGTTGAAAACAGCAGAGAGTAAGAAAGATCCAAATCTCTTTACCCATCAAAAAATAGCCACATCACCTGTATGAAATGGATATAAAAAAAGAAATTTAAAAAAAAGGAAAAATCCATATCGTGTCTAGTGATTCATATCCAAGGAAATAAGAAACACTACTGGGACAATACTGAAAACAGAGCACTCGAGAAAAAACAAAAAAGTTTGCCCTCTTTATTCTAGTAAGCAAACATGGCAAGAAATGCACTTCGTGTCTAGGAATGAAAAGGCAAGTAAGCCAAAGAGTTAGAATGGCCAAAAACTCAAGACTTAAACTGGACATTAATATTTTCAGCTCTGAAATTGGAGCAAAGTTTCTACTACATGTGAAGCTACGGAACTGCCACCTAAAAACATCACGGATAAGATACCTAACTGATATGACGAATCCAGAAAAATCAAAGCTGATAGTAAGAATTTCTACAGGGACTGGGTTTATTAACTTAGGAGATCACTTTTAATGTCATGTCCTACGTGTCTAGCTTCTTCTTCCCCTTGGAACCAAATGCTTCTTCTCACAAGATTTCTCATTAGCTCTACAACAGTCTGTACACTTGCCATGATCCCCACAACAAAGCTTGGCAGAAAAATTAGGAAAAAGGTTCAACAGTGGGAAAATCCATCTTTAGCACAGGGATTCTTGCTGCCTGACAATGAAATCCTCATCTGTTGATCATCTAAACACCAGCTTTGATGATGGTGTTTAGTGCACACACTACCTGACCAGAGACTAAACAAGCCTCCTCAGAAACAGTGCGAAAGTCTTCAACTTTCCAAGTCCTTAGGGAATTATATTGGCTGCTTCTTCCAGGTGGAAGAAAACTTTTCTACATCCTCTTTTTCTGCAGCACTTCAGCAAAGGAGGAGAATCAGCCCTACGATTAAGTCAGCATGTACAGAGTAAAATTTGCCCATTTATGGTCCTTTACCTCTGAGCAGCCCAAAGCCCTGCACAACAGCTCTGCAAAGCAAGTAAATATTATTCTCCTTACTTTAAACATAGGGAAACAGTGATGAAGTGACACACAAGGCCACCCAGGGAATCAATGTTGGATTCGGAATTGGAACACCAAGTTTTCTAAACCTAACTTGTGCCACATTATTATACAGTATAATCAGAATACGGTGTCAGGCTGGTTGCACACCTTCTGTGTGGGCATGATCAGTTAATATTATCATAGAAAGGCCAAGGACTATCCAGGCATGGTGACTGAACTACTAAGTCTAAGGTACACCCCCTCCAAGAGAAGTTAGCTGTGCTACGCTTAGCCTACAGAGAAATTGTGAATTTCTTTTACTGTAGATGGCTATAGCTAGTCAGATAAGTCACACTTTGGACTTAATTCTGAGTATTATGTTCTAAAATTCAGACCATATTTACTCGTTTCTACATCATCTGCAAGACTTAATGAATTAAATCAATGACAATCATATAAATGAGAGTGTTAAAAGTACCTTTTTCCTTTTCACTGTATCGGCTTATGTTACTGTTGTCACTATACAAAGGACCAGCAGTTGCATGGGGCTTGCAGCTGTGATATTGAGCGTTGAGGGTATTGACTGTGATGTGGATTAGGTGGAGTACAATCTTGCTGATTTCACAGTCTCTGTAGGGGTACTGTTCAGTGAAAAAGAAAAACTTGAGCTTAAAAACTAACTTTTCTCCTTGGATAAACATTTAGGCAGTAAAACAGAAAAATTACAAGAATATTGTCAGCTGGATGCCCTTCGCCTTCCTTTGATCATACATTTCTAAATACATCATGAGAAGCAGGACTGTTCTCAGCTTTGTACACAATTATTTTAAAAATTTTTTTTAAATCCCTATTAGTAAGATTTAATATATTGTTTTCTTGACTTTTACATGACAAAACCAACTATTCATAATAATGCAAAAGGTCTCTCATCAGAACTGTTCTCCAAATACTCGATTTCGATCAGCATGTTATCACTCATTTCTAGTGTCTCCACTTCCCTGTATGCCCTATAGACCTGCTAGAAATTTGTTAAGCATATCAGAAGCATTCACAGCTCCATTTTAATGCATAAAACCACATTACACTTTAACAACACTTCCTAAAAAGCATCACTTAACTAAAGAGTACAAGCTGTTAAGCTGACCACCACCCCCCCCCCCCATTTAAAATTACTCAATTTTTTTAAAACTAATTCTAAGTTACTCAAAATACTATTCACTGGAACTTTATATAGCATTTTCCTATTTTCAAATCCATATTTTTCTTTCTCAGGTAACCATGTATCCTGGTTTCAGCTGGGATAGAGTTTTGCTTTGCTTGAGTGCGCAGCTTTTGCTTTACCTATTAAACTGTCTTTATCTCAACCCACGAGTTCTCTCACTTTTACCATTCCGATTCTCTCCCCCACCGCACCGGGGGGGAGTGAGCGAGCGGCTGTGTGGTGCTTAGTTGCTGGCTGGGGGTAAAACACGACACCATGTGAAAGACAATACAGACAGCAGAAGTAATAGGTCATTAGCACAGATGAAAGCCTAACTACTTCAGACACTGAAATTAAATACAGTGAGTAAGCAAGTCAAAGTCAAAGAAAAGTGTTCTTTACAGTTCCTTTCACTTGCAGTACAGTTAGGTAATAAATTTCAAATTGAACTGTAAATTTTAAGGTGGACAGTGTCTTTTTAAGACCACTCACCTTATAGAGAATGACAAGCAAAGCCTTTAACCACATCTGCCGAATGTGAGGTTTGAGGGACCAGAGGGAGCAGCGGGGAGGCTGCTGAAAGTAATGCCTTAGCTGAGGACAAGTGCAATATTTCAACACCTGCACCACCAAGGGAAGAAGGTGTTTTCCCAGGTTGATGTTATAGTCCATCACCTGAAAAGAATATCAGCACAGGAGTTAGTTCACCAAAATCAAATCCACTGATGTTGAAAAGCAAAATAACTAATACCTCAACTGTATTAGTTAAGTGAAAGAAACAGACATTTTTAAGGAAGTCTCACTGTCAGTTAGAAACTTTCTGCCAGTTTGCCAGTTCTCATTTTAGTGAGATAGGTAAAATGAAACAAGAGAGATGTGTTCTGAAAGCCTTTCATCCTGCACAGCCTAAATTTTAATATACATTGGCAAATTCATAAAATATATTATGCTGGGATAGCCTTATATTATAGCACCAGTTGATCATGCTTCAACAGACAAAACCGTGTTAGGTATATCCCATGTTTAACAGATATGATGCAAGTGTGGGTCTTGGAAGGGGGGTGTGTGTATTTTGGTTATTTGGGGGTTTTGTATTAACATTGAATTGCCAATTTTCATTATTTTCTCATCAGGTTTGCAACATTAACTGTTGAGGTTTTTTAAGCCCCATGTTCTGGAATCAGGTAATGAGACAAGAATTCCACTCTTCACTATAGCAAAGGTAAGGCCATGTCTGCAACGTTATGCAGGAAGTCTAAGCATGCAAATCCTAAAGGATCCAAGAACAACGCTAATGAAAAATATCTTGCTCTAAATAAAATGCTCATCAATTTTAAGTGGTGATGATGCTGTAGACAGGTTGCTGTTATTACTACTAGTCATAAGCCTTGCCTCTATCATGACCTTTGAAGAGCATCATGCTATTTGGTGCCTGTCCCAGAGGTTTGAATCTTGATGGTTAGGTGCAATGTGGGCATATATTCTCACTGCCCTGACACAACTGTGTTTTCAATTCAAACTGCATTGCTTTTTCATTATCTTCTCATCAGTCTTGCAACATATGGCTTCACATAAAAATAGCCGATATCCTGAAATCAGCAGCTAAACTAGATCATAACAAGGATCCACAAAGCCCTTGTCTCTGATGCTGACCTGGTTGACACCCAGGAAGGCATAACAGCAGGCCATGCAAACTCCAGCACATCGCCCAAGATCTAACACGTCCCTGCAGTTTCAGTGGACTTAGGGCTTTATCAGGACCCCTGTACAACTAAACAGACACAAACATCAGTTTCATCTACATCACCCATTTCCTTCAGGTCTGTATTTCTTTTTTTGGTTTTATTTTTATTAGAACAAGAGGATGAGTCTAATTTACAAACACAGAACTCATCTCTCAAGTTCCCTCCTGAACAAGCTGACTAGAGGTTTTTCCCTATAAAATTCTCTAGTTCAATGTGCAGCTGTCTCTAATTTTTGTGCTGCATGCATAAAGCTAAATAGATGAATCCCGTGTCTATCCAGGTAGGGCTAGCCTGTCGAACAGACGATATACAATCACCAAATACGATCCTACCCTGCAATGCCTTGTCTCCTCAGGGCGAGATACAGTTATACAGCATGGTTAGGAAAAAAACTCATCCATACAAGGAAGACAGACCCCTGCTTTAACATAGCACATACTATAATGCAGACATGTCTTAAACCGAGCAGATCCATTTTTTAAGTTGTCTTTTAAGGAAGATCTGGAATAAATGATGCTGCAAATGTTGAGCAGAGTTCAGCCTGGGATGCCGAGAAGAGCCTGGCACTGCTGGCTTCTCCACTCTGACAGGCTTGTACAACATTGCCACCATGTGGGGCAATACCACACTGACTGAAACACCAAAAATCGCCCACTTCTGCTGCTAGAGAAAGAAAAAGGCATTTTATGCTTTCAAGAATTCCAAATACTCAGATTTTATGATGCAAAATACTAAGAGACATTTGATTTTTTTTTTCTTGAACTGACCATTCCAATCAAGCTTGGAACCAAAACCAATGAACGAGCAAGTCAGCCCAATCCCAGCCTTTGTGGAGCTGATTGGTAAAAGCAAATATTTATGACTAGGGGAGGGAGTGTAACTCAAATAGATCTCTTAAGAGCTCCATATTGAATTTTCACTCTGTAAACGCATCTTTGGATTGCAAATAGCATTTCTCTTGCAGCAAAGGAGATTCCCAAGACAAAGCAGCCCTACAGCGAAGAAAAAAATCCCCCCAAAATATAAATTAAAGTTTTGATGTCTGCTACATGGAGAAAAAACGTGGCCTATTGAAGTTCTCAAACTCCATTTGACGTTGGGGAGCCAAGATTCAACTATGAAGCTTTTCAAAGAGAAATGGTGATTTTGGCTATCCTGAGACATTTTACAGGTGGAAGAGGAAAGGCAGGGCATTGCAGTAAGTAGTATTTCTGAAAATCAGGTCAATTATGATCACGGAAGTTTGGGAATCCAAACGTGGAAAACGTACAAAAATTTGGAAGATACTGCCCTGTGATCTAAACTGCCACTTCCGGACTCTCAATACAACGGTAACAGGCCTGAATCTCCTTTTACATGCTTCCGCTTAAAACTGCACAAGTGAAAGATGATTAACACCACATAGCAATGGTGCTCCAAGACAACGGATCAGGATGCATTTGCAGCTACCCAGTTTGCATTAACACCTTCTATTTTGCCTGCTGAAATATGGATACCTGACGTCTCCATGACTGTGAAAGTTTATCCAAGTATCTACATTACAACTGACTTTGAAAAATCACTGATTCCGATGTATGAACTAGAAAATCCTGGTAAGAACTGCAGATACAGAAAAGGTCAGGATAGCTTTGAGCAAGGTTTGAAGGTTATAGTGGACATTTTAAGAGCTGGGGCAGGGGGAGATCTGAAATCACAGCCCTCTCTCTCCCCTAAGATAATCCTTTATGAGAGACTGTGATAAGGAAAAACTGTGGAAGTGATGACGATGCTTCATGGCAAATAATAAGAATACTCTGCAAATGTGAAATGTTTTTCAGCCTAGCATCACCAACTGCTCTATCAGTAAGAATTAACTGAGCCTTAGAAGAGCCTTGTGAGGCAGGAAATTATGGTCCTCCTTACAAGATGGAGAAAGAAGGCACAAGGCAAGGATGTGCTCATTTATTGTAGCAATATAGGCAGAAGTCCACCATGGTGGCACCTCTCCCTAGGAAAGGGAGAACAGGAAGTCCTAATGCACTCTAAGGAAGAAGGAGAATGAGTCTCCTGCAAAGTGAAGAATGTCAAAGAGTTTACAGACCATTCACGCAGGGAAACAAGCAAGAGCACATGGGTCCCAGGACTTCCTGAATGCGAAAGGAGGAAATGACATGTGAGGAAAGTAAGGCATTCAAAGGTTAGGGAAAAAGGTTTGGAGCAGTCTCTGATTTTTCATACAGTGAGAGTATTTGTGTGACTGCACGTACACAAAACTGTTATCTCTATGCCAATGATGCAGTAAGTTTAGAGTACTAGTATGAAGTTATAAATTAGCATATTGCTATTTAACTATTTACTTTTTAACTGCAAAGCAAAAACCTACAGAGAGCACTTGATTAGGCTACAGGGAACCTTCTGAGAATAAAGAACAAGCAGCCATCCTTGTTCCTAAATTCTTTCACCAACTGAAGAGGTGTTAAGAAGGTTTAAGTAGGATTACCACAATCAGCCATTATTTTGGTACAAAGAAGGCTGTGCTACCACCATTTCAACAACAGGCAACGAGAAAGAGCTGCAAAAAGTAGTAAATGCCTTCACCTACTTGTGCTATTCCAGCAATAAAGGCATTAAAGCAGGTCGAAACACGCATTTTTTGTGGTGCAATCATGAAGCATCCTTCCT